AAGGAAGGAAGGAAGGAAGGAAGGAAGGAAGGAAGGAAGAAAGAAAGAAAGAAAGAAAGAAAGAAAGAAAGAAAGAAAGAAAGGCCAAGGTGACTCCGGCTCTGGCTGGGAGCCACTTCCGCCCCCCCCTGGAGCCCCCCACCACTTCCAGCACCTAAAGGAGAGAGGCCGTGTGGCTTGTGCCCCTTTCTGAGGAAACCGTGGGCTGCCCGACCAGCACTCCTCTCCCTAGGCCAGGCCCACTGCCTGACAGGGGGGTCTGCCAAGTGAAGCCTGAGGAGCCTGGCCTCACAAGGCTGCCGAGACCCTCTTGAGCCGGAAGCGCCCAGGTCCTTCCGGAGGGAGACCGTCCGGCATGGCTTTATATCAGCACGGCAGAGGATCTGGCAGCGCCTTCCTGGGCTTCGCTTGACCCCAAGCGTCCCTGGGCGGCGACAGCGGCCCGCTTCCTTTGAGGCCAGACATCGGCCGCCCATAAAAGCAAAAGCAAAGTGCGTTGCTTATAGACCGCCCCATAGCACTTCAAACACTCTCCGGGCAGTTTATTTTTATTGATTAATTGATTGATTTGATTTGTGCCCCGCCCATCTGGTCTATGCGACCACTCTAGGTTGGTTCACGATGCAGGGAATCCTGACGGGGAAGGCCAGCCTCCACAAAAGGCCAACAGCCTTCCTTTCCGGATCCTGCCACTGGGTGGCAAGTGCTGGGAGCCTGTTTGGCGTCCATGGGGGGGGGCACCCTAGCCCCTGCCCCCAGTCGCGTCAGCTCACATGGGGCAGGATCCATGGGTTCTTGGGTGTCTCGTGTTGGAACTCATCCTGCGGTCTTTTGTCCTCCAGTTTCCAGGCCCAGATCGACGAGTGCGTCAAGCAGATGTCGGACATCCTGTGCCAGGTGAAGGGGGCAGGCAATGCCCCTCCCAATGTCATCGCCCAGGAAGCCGACAACGCCCTCAGGCCCCTGATGGACTTTCTGGATGGGAAGTAAGGATGCGGCTCGTCCGGGGCGCATGATCTGATCTGGAGCGAAGGGAGGGCCGTGGCTCCGTGGGGACAGCAGCCCCTGCTTCCTGTGCAGGAGGTCCCCGGTGGCCTCTGCAGTTAAGGGCATCCCAGGTCACCGAGCAAGGAAGGGCAGCCGCTGCCCCCAGCCAGTGTACGGCCGTCGTGGGCCGGATTCATCCAAGGCCCGGTGGGAGAGGAGGCAGCGAGGGATGGCTGATTACTCAGCGAGAGGAGGAGGAGGGATGTCTGCTAACAGGCCTGTAGACCAGGATGGCTCAGGGGGACCTCCGTGGTCTGAGGAGGTCGCTCTCTTCTGCATCTCTGATCTCACGGTCAAACAGAGAAGGGCTGCCGCTTGGGAGCTTCTGAGCACCAGCTGGCTGGATGCAGCTGGAGACAGAAGGCTGGGCGGGATGACCCTCCCGGCCCAGTTTGGGGCTTGTGTGGCTGGACCTTTTGTGTGCAAAGCGAGCCCTCGGCCCCTGAGGCGCAGCCCTCGCCCTTTGTCCCGAGGGGTCCCTCTCGCTGGACTTGAGCCCGGCCGGTGTCTCCCTTGCAGCCTGACCCTCTTTGCCGACGTGTGCGAGAAGACGGTGCTGAAGCGGGTGCTGAAGGAACTCTGGCGGGTCGTGATGAACACCCTGGAGAAGATCATTGTGCTGCCCCCGCTCTCCGACCACACGGTAAAGGGCCTCCTTCCTCGCCTGGCGGGGTTGTGGCTGCGGGGCGGGCGGGATCCAGGATGCTGCCGCCTCTCTGCTGGCTTGGGCCGCCCGAAGGGCCCCGGCCTCCTCCTAGGAGCGAACCAGGGGAATGCGTGCTGGGAATGCGTGGGGCAGATATCAGTGGCCTGGGAGCACACGGGCTGTGTGTTTGTGTGTGTGTGTGTGCGTGTTGGGAGCACATGGGCTGTGTGTTTGTGCGTGTGTGCGTGCGTGTGTGCCAGGAAGGGGACAGAGCACGCACAGGGTTCTGCGGTCAGGGATGGTGGGGGAGGATGGGCCCCCCTTGCTTTCTTTCCAGGGTTCTGGGAGAGCCGTTCCGCTGGGAGGGGGTCTCTTGGGACAGCCTGCTTCAGTGAGGCGGTGGGGTTTTCCAGGCACAGTGGGCTGTGTGTTTGTGCGTGTGTGCGTGCGTGTGTGCCAGGAAGGGGACAGAGCACGCACAGGGTTCTGCGGTCAGGGATGGTGGGGGAGGATGGGCCCCCCTTGCTTTCTTTCCAGGGTTCTGGGAGAGCCGTTCCGCTGGGAGGGGGTCTCTTGGGACAGCCTGCTTCAGTGAGGCGGTGGGGTTTTCCAGGCACAGAAGAAACACCTGCCACGCAGGAGAATCGTGGGGCTGAAGCCAGAACGCTGTGGGTTTGTGCAGAGAGGCTGGGGGAAGGCTAGGGGGTGATGGCAAGCAGGGGCCCCTCGGGCAATGAGGGCCCTGAAAGGCTAGGGGTGGTGGTGGTGGTGGTGGTGGTGGTTGTTATTATTATTATTATTATTAATTGTATTTTTACACTGCCTATCTAGTCATTTCGACCACTCTAGGCGGCTTACAACATAAAACATAACAAGTTCAAGAAAAATTTATAACAATTAATTAATTAAATGATTCTACAATGAGAAAAATACAAAATAAATCAAATAAAGAGAAAAAAAAGGAAAGAGGATAGGAATTAACTGGAAGGGAAGGCCTGCCTATACATCCACGTTTTTAGTTGGTTCTTAAAAGTACCCAGCGA